TCCTTCGTTCTACTCTAAGAGATACCAAAGGCATGGAATTTTCAGGGATAAAAAGGGAAAGGTGATGTGACTTGAGTGGGATGAACTTGATTAGGGAGGTGGCTTCCACTTACCTTCCATCTGTTGAGCAGAGAATGGATCACACATGTGGAAGATGGAAGCGTTGCCCTGAGAGCACACTAAGAAGGCAGATTTTGGCATACAGGCAGCCATTCTGGAGGCTGACTTTATACATTTATGTGGATGTCTGACTCTCAGTCATAAATCACCTTCATTGCCCTGAATACGTCAACTGCTTATTACATGAGCGATAGTGTGGGGCCCAGTACACTCATTTCATCCTGCTTCCTCACAGCTCATCTGAAAGTCATCTCCACCCATGTTGCTGGGTTCCTATGGAGACAATATCAGTACAACACAATGTCCCTCGAGAAACAAGGCCCTGACAATGGTGCACGAAGCACCCCATTCTTACTGGTCGAATCAGCAACATCAGGGCGATAAATAGTCTGCTGAATTTATCTGCTGAGCAACACCAAAAAGACTATGCAATTTATACACACCTGCTATAATAAAATTTCTCAAAGGTGCTTGACAAAAATGATAATTGGGTGACCTTTGACACTGAGCCACATAATGAGATCTTAGGACAGATCGCAAAGCTTGGTCGAAGAGGTAGGTTTTAAGGAGTGTCTTAAAGGAGGATAGAGAGAAAAAAGCCAAAGGGTTTAGGAAGGGAATTCCAGAATGCAGGGCCCAGGCAGTTCAAGACATGGCCACCAGTGATGGAGCAATGGAAGTAAGGGATGTGCAAGAAGCCATAATTAATTGAATGCACATATCAAAGATGGTGTGGGGCTGGAGGAGATTACAGAGCCACGAAGAGGTGAGGAAATTTTTATAGAGGAATTTAAATGCAAGGAAATCAAAATTCCTAATTCTAAATGAAAAGGTACACTTTCTAAGCCTTAGAGAGTATCTGTGTAGCTGTTGTGCGTATTGTCTTATAGATGCCAGTGTAGTGATAGATGTCATTCAAAGCCTACTCTTCATCAAATACCATTCTCTATCAATTTTGCCCTGCACTCCCCCCCGCCCCACACACACACACCCACACACACCCACACCCACACACACACAAACACACACACACCCTTGGAAGGAGCAAACTCCCAGTGGAGCCCAATTCCAGCCACTGGTCTGTGCCTTTTCTAAGAAGTTATTCAAGTGTCTGCCTGGCTTGAGTTGTCGGCAGACCATTGAACTGTGGAGGAGTTGCTGCTGCCCTCACGTGATGATCCGCACCAACCCACACACAAATAGAAACACGCGGCTGAGGACAGGTCCCCTATTTTGTGTTCTATTCCCTGTTTTTTCTTCTCATTTATTTCCCTTAATTTGCACTTGGACAGCTACTATCCTGGTATTGACACCTCTGGAAACAGCTTTCATAGTTTTAGTTGTCTCATTCCCACTCTCTTTGGTCTTGCAGCATGAAACCCTTTATTATTTAACCTCTCCTGCCCTTCAACTGCTCACAGACGTTCCCATTTATTCTTCTTCCCACCCTTCCTCCTTTTGACTTGCTCAAAACCTGGGACAACTTGTGACTTCTCCCAGTTCTGATAAAGGGCCATGGATCTGAAAAGTTAAGTCAGTTTCACTCCACAGCTGCTGCCTGATCTGCTGAGTTTATCCATCATTTTCTGTCTTTATTTCGAGTTTAATCCGCAGTGTTTTATTTTAGTACAAGATGCCTCTGCTTGGCTGGAAACCCTTTTCATTTTAAATCCTGTTGTAAGTGGGTTTGGTGAGAATTTTTCATCTCTTTGAAACCTGAGCATTTAGTCAGCATGCACACATCAAGCTGACTGACAATTCGAAACACAAACACAACTGCAACAGCTTTTATAGTAGATCATCGAAAAAATCAAACCGAATCAAAAGCAGAATTGTTTTTTTGTTGTAAATTTGGGCTGCTTCAGGGGCTTATTGGAATGAAATAAAGAATGTAATGGTATCCTGAGCTTCTGAGTTGTCACATTCTGTCAGTTAACACACAGCTGAACCTTGCAAGTTCAGTCTGACAGATCGTCATCAAGAATAGATTGAAAGTTGTTATATTCAACTGCTTCCTTTTCTCACTGCATCTGCATTTCATTTGCACAACAGCAATTCCCAGAAACTGGAACAGCTGCTGCAGACAGTAGGAATTGGGCAGCTCATGACAACTAGCTCATACTCACACCATTAACTGCAGCTTATTTCACAAAACCAAATAATCCTGCAATTTGATCCTGACCCACTTGTACTTCTCCACATGGCACCCTATCCCTCCTGATGTTTTACAGGCACCAGGAGCCCTCCTGTATCTCAGTTGAGTCACAGCAAAGTCAGAACTCTATCTATATTCACATATTCACACACACTCTCACAAACATATGCAGGTAGTCCTCTCTTAAGGTTGTTTTGTTTATTAGGAATGTAAGCACAACTTTAAGTGAATCAAAGGTTCTCATTGGAATCATTGTTAATACTGGAGTTGAGCTCCTTCAGAAATATTTTGCCTGGAAAAAACAATGCACAAGTTGAAATACTGTACAAGTGCAGCACTGTGCATTCCTAGCTGAAAACTTGCAACGTAAAATAAATCATTGAATATAACAGAAATATTATATACATTCAAATTAGACAACAGTTTCTGCTTCACTGTGTGTGTGTGTGTGTGTGTGCGTGCGCGTGCATGCACGCTCATGTGTTTTTCTCTCTCTCTGCCTTTTCCACTTTGCCCGTCGGCCTCTATGTCTTCTGATTGGGTCCTGATGTGATTAACATTCACATATATACACTCACACAAACTCACATGCACACGCATTCGCATATATACACATGCTTACAAATGCACAGACAGACAGACACACACACACACACACGGCTGACACATATGTGTTCACACTCACACCCTCTTTCTCTACTTTTAGTTGTTGTATCTTCACCACTGACTCACTTTGAAGACAGCTAATAACAGAGAGCCTGATTGGACCTGACACCTCTCTGTGTAGCTTGGTTCCTAGTCACGCACACTGTGTACTCCTTTGCTTCAATGCCCTTTACATTTCCCAGAAGACTGACAGCTCACAGAAGATTGGGATGATGCAAATGAACGGATGTGATTGGCCTGTCCAGAACATACAACATCTTGCAGAGATGAACCACTAAAACCCTCATCTGCCATCATAATATCATAACCATTGATCTGTAATGTATCCACATGATCCGAGACTCAGACGCTCTCTCCTGTGTGGCCTGGATTGAATCATTAAACTTATTCCTTGGCGTACAGAAGATAAAGAAGTGATCTAATTTAAGATGATTAAAGGATTTGATAGGGTAAATATAGAAAAAAAATTCCCCTGGGATGGAGGGGAGTGTGTTCAGAATAAGGAGTCATAACCTTAAAGTGAGAGCTACACTGTTTAGGGGTGATGTCAGGAAGCATTTCTTCACACAAAGGGGAGTGGAAATCTGAAACTTCTCCCCCAAGCCCAGAAAAATGCTGTGGATGCCGAAGATAATTGAAAGTTTCAAACTCAAATTGATATTTTTCCTTGTTGGTGAATGTAGTTTTCGATACAAATTTTGATACATGATCTAATTGGATGATGGAATATACACTGAACGGCCTCTTCCTGTTCCTGCATCCCTGTATTTCGTGTAGTGTTCTGTTGGTACAAAAATAGAATGCTAGTATGAGAAAGCTGTTATAACTACAAAAACAGCACATCAAACATTTGGAATACTGCATTCAGTTCCGGTCTCCCTGCTATAGGAGAGATGTTGTGAAACTTGAAAGAGTTCAGAAAAGATTTACAAGGATGTTGCTGGGGTTGGATACTTTGAGCTATAGGGAGAGGCTGAATAGGCTGGGGCTATTTTCCCTGGAGCATAGGAGGCTGAGGGACGACCTTATAGAGGTTTACAAAATCATGACGGGCATGGTGAATAGCTAAGGTCTTTTCCCCAAGTTAGGGGAATCCAAAACTTAAACTTTTTGAGAAGATTTGTAGCTTGGGTTGTGGATGAGGTTGTAGACTTGCTGTCCGAGCCAGTGTGTTTGGTTGCTGACATTTCGTCACCCTGCTAGGTAACATCGTCAGTGCGCCTCCGGTGAAGCGTCGGTGTTCTGTCCCGTTTGTTATTTATATCGGGTTCAGTTCAATGTGTTTGTTGATGGAGTTCTGGTTGGAATGCCAGGCCTCCAGGAATTCCCTGGCATATCTGTCTTTGGCTTGTGCGATTATGGATGTGTTGTCCCAGTCAAATTCGTATCCTTCTTTGTCTGTGTGCAGTGAGACCGGTAAGAATTGGTCGTGTCTCTTGGTGGCTAGTTGGTGTTTGTGTATCCTTATTGTCAGTTTTCTTCCAGTTTGGCCTATGTGATGTAATGTAATGAGAAAGAGAAATAGTGTGAGGGTTCAGAATAGTCTATTTTAATGTCTGTGGTGGGTAAAATTCTGCAGCTGTTAAATCATGAGTGAAATTACTAGATGTGGTCAAGTGTGGTGGATGTGGTTTGGGAAGGAGGGAGTGCTGCACTCTTGGGGATGCAATCTTTCACAAGGCATTTGGGGCATTTAAATTCAGTTAATTAAATAAATCTGGAATGAAAAGTCAGTCTCAGTAATAACAACAATGAAACTATCATCGATTGTCATAAAAACCCATCTGATTCACTAATGCCCTTCAGGGAAAGAAACCTACTATCCTCACCTGGTCTGGCCTACATGTGACTCCAGACCCACAGCAAGGTGGTTGACTCTTAACTGCCCTCTGAAATAACCCTAGCAAGCCATTTGGTTGTATTCAAGAAGGTGGCTCATCGTTGCTTTCTCAAGGGCAATAAATGCCAGCGATACCCATATCCCATGAATGAATAAAAATTGATTTTTTAAAAAAAAAACATTTTTTCATGTTTGTTATATATCTGAAACCATCAACAGCATAGGGATACTGGAGGGCGGACGTGCAACACCAGTCCAACCATCGATGGTTCCCGACCCACAAGGTACAACTCCACCTGGAACAGAAGCACACCTACAACCCCCTGTCTCTCCTGTGTCAGGGAGAAGTGGCTCGTCTGTCAGTTGTCAAAGAAATGAGAGCCCTGGAAGTCCAGGAGACCAACCACCAAGCAGCCAGCAGGTGACTGACATGGAGACCAGTGCAGTGCCAGTTACCCCTGGGAGCTTGCACCAGGCACTCACCGTCGATACTCAGTTAAACGTAAACCAAAGTAAAAGGCTAGACAGCTCCAATGGACCTTCCTCAACCTGCAGCCCAGTGTTCAAGGGTCATCCCGTTGAGAGCTTCTCCGACCACTATGTCGCCAACACGCCTGGGAGTTCACCCTTCATCAGATGTCCAGTGAACAGTGCCTTAAGTGTCCCGTGTATTATGAACACCTCAGTGCAACATCCGTTGATACTGCCAGATATGGTTGCTCCTCAGTCCTGCCAAGGGAGCCCGGATTCACAAGCCCCTCCAACTCCCGCCTTCCCAGTTTCCATGCCCTACTATACTCCCTTCTCGCCTGCTGAAGTGTTCACCTACCAATCGGGCAGTCCAGGGGGCCTCCAGCAGCCACCATTGCCAGAGAAACGACGCCTGTCTGCCAGCCAAGGAATGAGCAATGGAAGATCGTTCTCTCCGACGTTAAGAGGTCTTCATCAGGCTCCCAGTGAAAACGCTACACACCACGTGACCTTCTCACCCACTACTTTGGACTTCTCAATGTCATCGTTGACAGGTAAGCCATCATATTGTGTGGCAGCAGCATTGGTACTCTGGTATCCCTTTGGTTCCCTCAAATAGGTTACCCAAGTAACATTCCCATTGGTTGGGAGAACCAAAAGGTCAAGGGTCATGAACTTTGTTGGCAGTTGGGCATCAGCTGACTGGGACTGGAATTGCAATGGACTGTATAAACCATCTAAACTTGCTGATTTCCCCCAGCCTTGATTTACCACCCATTGCCCTTCAACCCAGAAAAAGAACTATCTGGAAATTCTGGACTGTAAATTCCCTGTTTGCAACCTTTGTAGCCTGTTTGACCCGGAACTGGGTAATGGGCTGAGAATTGGGTGGGCTTTATCATGAGCAAGCAATCTTTTGTACCAGGTCATTGCCCAAGTGGTGAAGCCAAAAATTGATCCCCAAATCCACTGGGCAATGAACTGGCAGTCGCAAGGTCTACTAAGGGTCCTAGGCCAGACACCCTCCCCATCCCTGCCTCGATGACGAGCAGAGATTTGTAGAAGTTTCTAACATCGTTCCTTCAATTTGGGACTGCTGTAATGCATTTTTCTCAAGGTGAGGAATAATCCCTTCCATCTGGGCCACAGAATCTTTCCGTTAGACATTTGTCACTGATTTTTCAAACCAGAGAAGACCCAGCTCACCAAAACATGCAAATTATGGGAAACCCCTGACCTTTGACTCTGCACATCGCATCATGATGTCACCTTCCCTCCTTCTTGATGGCCTGAAGACAGTCCCTCTCAGCATGAGCAAAATCCAATGCGAGCAAACTTTATTTAATTATTTGCTGTCCTTGTTCTCTGCAGATGGACATCAGGAAAACCAAATCAGTGCCAAGTTTGTCCAGGACACCTCAAAGTTTTGGTATAAACCGAACATCTCCAGAGACCAAGGTGAACTGCCATGTCTGAATGAAAGCTGTTGTTTGTGGTGTAGAGTTGACAGTAACGAGGAGACTCACCCAAGGACCCTTCCCCTCCTCACCCCACCTCGACCTGTATTTCCCTAAGCGCTTTAAAATTACCAATATGCCCAATTTCCCTGATTGCTGTTTACTCATAATTACTCTCATAATGGCACTGAGGGTTAGACTGGAAGCTTTTCTTTCATCCTGTCTCCTGTTCAGAAGCGATCGTGCAGCTGAGGTAAAAATGTGTGCATTCTAGGGGCATAAAGCAAGCACAGTAAGGGCCCATTTCACTGCCCTCAAAAGATGCCTGAAAGATGTCAAAACGTCTGTTGGGTGGACCCACTTTTCAGATGCCCCTGGCGACAGATTAAAACAGTTGTTAGGCCCCTTAAATTAGTAAATGAGGCATCCAACAGCACAATTTTTTTAAAAGAAAAATCATCAAAAACATCAAAAATTGTTCAGCCACAAAGCTGGAGTTCTTATTTCTGGGGCCCTTGTCAGTCTCCTTCATGTCACCCCCTCCCCCTTGCTTATCTCAGGATTACGCCTGGTGAGGCAAGCAGCCGAACATTCCCCTCAAACTGGGGAGGGTTGCTTATACTGGAAAAAAAACGGCCAAATAATGTAAATGAAGGCCAATCCCGGGTCTCTTGATTCAGCCTCCTTCTTCATGGAGAGCATTTTGAGTTTTTCATTTATCTGTGCTTGCAAGCAGCCGCTGAAACACCAGAGCAGCTTCATATAGTCTCTTCGATCATCAGGCAGCTCTAAACATACTTCAGCCATAACTTCCTGTTGTTGTGACACTAGGGTCCTTGTTTCAAAAATAGCCTGGTGGGAACAGACCATTTAATGTGTCCCCCTGCATGAGAAGGGAACAAGGCATTCTGGTCACAGGGCCATAGACAACAACACGATTAAGTCATGTTGTTCCTTAACTCATTAACCAGATTGGAAATAGGGTGGTTGCCAGGGGCGGGGCCGTGATATGTAGCAAGCTCCCCGATCGTTAATTTGCCTCTAAACCGTACCACAGCCTTCCTTACCCGTCTGTGTTTCCTGATTGCATTTATTTAACCAGTTAGTTTTCCTTAAAAATCATTTTCCTTTGGTTGCATCGTGCCAAAACACCTTCAGCAATGATACTAGTACTCATGGGTTAAATTAATGAGGAGCGATTACACATTTTAGAGTGAATTCTCTGGAAATTCAAAGATCGAGAGATAATTTGATCCAAGTACGCGGGACACTAAGGGGAACAGGGTGGATAGAGAAAAAGTTTCCCTTATCCTTTTTTTCATAACTATTTTCAAAATAAGATTTTGTGTCACATGTGCAATAAAAGAATTTGACAAATCAATATTCACGTTGTCAAAGGTACAAAGTGGATTTTGTATGAAATATTCCATGAGTACTGCTGAAGCTCCATTGAAGTAAACTGCAACTACAAATTATTCAGAACAATGCAATATTCCTTTTAAAATAACTTGTATCTTGTAGGTTTATTTGCCAGTGTTTTTAACCATGGGCACTGAAGAAGTCATACCAGAGTTGAAACTGTGTTTCTCCACAGATGCTGCAGACCTGCTGAGTTTCTCCGGCATTATAGAATCCCTAGAGTGTGGAAGTAGGCCATTCAGCCCATTGAGTCCACATAGACTCTTTGAAGAGCATCCTACCCAGACACACCCTATCCTTGGGATCCTGCATTTCCCATGGCTAATTCACCTAGTTTGCACATCCTTGGACACTACGGGCAATTTAAGATGACCAATCCATCTAGCCTGCATATCTTTGGACTGTGGGAGGAAACTGGAGCACCTGGAGGAAACCCACACAGACACGGGGAAAACGTGAAACTCCACACAGAGAGTTGCCCAAGGCTGGGATTGATCCCAGGTCCCTAGTGCTGTGAGGCAGCAGTGCCAGCCACTGTGCCACCCCAGAACATTAATTAGCCTGAATTCTGGATTCCTAGACTAATATTGTTACCACTACACCATATCTCCCCTGTCACATTCTTTGCGGACCAAGTCAGAAGTCACACGACACCAGGTTATAGGCCAACAGGTTTATTTGAAATCACAAGCTTTTGGAGCGCTGCTCCTTTGTCAGGTGAAGTCTGACCTGGTGACGTGTGACTTCCGACTTTGTCCACCCCAGTCCAACACCGACCTCTCCACATTCTATGAGTTTGTTTCAGATATCCAGCATCCACAGTATTTTGTTTTCATTTAAGATTTAGAGATTTTGTGCATTGTTTATTTACAATAATTACAATGTTCTTCACATATGGATTTTGATATTTGCATGGGGTATGTAACATATTTTTGATGTGTAAGCCATTAAGTATCTTTAGGCTATAAATTACACTTGGTGATGCTAGTAAACACATTCTTAGCCTGTTAATTTTACATTCCTTTGGGTGCGATTTTCCGACTATATTAACGTGATTTTAAAAAACTGTTAACTATTTTCTAAATGGGGAAATGCTTTGGAAATCTGAAGGACAAAGGGACTTAGGAGTCCTGGTTCAGGATTCTCTTAAAGTTAACATGCAGATTCATTTGACAGTTAGGAAGGCAAATGCAATGTTAGCATTCATTTCAAGAGGGCTAGAATACAAGAGCTGGGATGTGCTGCTGAGGCTGGAAAAGCATGTAGTTAGACCTCATTTGGAATCTTGCAGGCAGTTTTGGGCCCCATACCTAAGGAAGGATATGCAGGTGTTGGAGGGGGTCCAGAGGAAGTTTAGAAGAATGATCCTGGGGATAAAGGGCTCATCAGATGAGGAACGTTTGAGGACTCTGGGTCTGTAGTCGATGGAGTTTAGAAGGATGAGGGAGGGATCTCATTGAAATTTTAAGAATATTGAGAGGCTTGGATAGAGTGGATATGGAGAAGTTGTTTCCACTAGTAAGTGAGAGGCACAGCCTCAGAGTGAAGGGACGAGATGAGATGAGGAGGAATTTCTTCAGCCAGAGAGTGGTGGTGCTGTGGAACTCATTGCTGCCAAGTCGTTAAGTGTATTTAAGACAGAGAGGTAGGTTCTTGATTAGTAAGGGGATCAAGGGTTACAAGGAGAAGGCAGGAGAATGGGGTTGAGAAACATATCAGCTATAATTGAATGGTGGAGCAGATTTGATGGGCTGAACAGCCTATTTCTGCTCCTATATATTATGGTCTTATAGTCCAGTAAAGGACCATGTTTTCAAACATTGGAGCCAGATCTTTCAGGAATGAAATTAGGAGACATGTCTGTGCACAGAGGGTAATAAAAATTTGAAACTTTATTTCACAAATGGCAATTAATGCTCAATAAATGGTAAATGCTATATCTAAGATTAGTACATTCTGTTACCAAAGGTACAAAAGGATATGGGGAAAAGGTGAGTGTATGGAATTAGGCCACAGACCTTCCTGAATGGCAAAACAGGCTAAAGGGCCTGGCTGACCTCCTCCTGTTCTTTTGTTCTGGATAGTCTTGAAAGAGTGGATTGGAGTTGGGGGGGAGGAAGCTTTGTGACTACCTGTTTTTCTGATCTGAGTAAATCACTCCATGCAGGCCAACCGCGGCAGTGATTCAGAATTGTAAAATCCTGTTATCTAATCTCTTTCACTCACAGCAATCGCCCTCCTGAAAGATCGTGAGCCAGGCTCCTTTCTCATTCGAGACAGCAATTCTTTCCAGGGAGCTTATGGCCTTGCCCTCAAAGTAGTGACACCTCCAGCTAACCTCAGCTCACACAGCACTAAAGGTATGTTGCAGATATCCGGCTCTGTGTTTGACGGTGAATGTTTGACTGCAGTTCTGTCCCAGTGTGCAGTGGGTAGTTGCAGTATTGATCCCATTATGTGGCTCCATATCGATGTTAACAGAACCCCCACCCGCAACTGCCCTCGCGCCCCCCTACTTTTCCCCCGCACCCCTCCCCACTCTCCCATCGCTTCCTCAGCAAAGTTGTGGACAGGTCTGCAAAATCTATTCCCTGCTTCGTTGTTTTAATGAAGAATGTGCCAGCAACTGAATGTACAAGGGTGATGGAAGTGGAGATGATGAATAATTTCCAAAAGAGGGACAGACGGGTTTGCAGGACAGAGAACCAGGATGGCGTCACTGGGCTGTTGACCTCCCTCTGTCCAGTCTTGCCCCTCTCACTCTAACTGCAGGCACCTTCACCCACCAACCTGCAAGCGAGGTCAATAGAATTGAGGTGGCTTCAGGATGGAGGAGGTGGGGTCGGGTGAGATGAGACCACTTATCAGGTGGGGAAGTAAATGTGGAAAACTCAATCTGACTCCTGGGTCACAGATCAATGCAAAGAAGGAGATGAGTCATTTTGCTGGCCTGAGGCTGTTCACTTGCAGTTGGAATTAGAATCTTGTCACTGGGCAGACTCGAGAGATTCTGAACAGTCATACTGGACTCAAAACATTCACTCTGTTTGTCTCGTCACAGAAGCTACCAGACTTGCTGAGTCTCTCCAGCGTTCTCTAGGTTTATTTAAGATTTCCAGCATCCGCTGGATTTTGCTTTTAGTCGAGGGGTTGTTGTTCTGGCCAGTCTTGCTGTGACCCACTGCCTGCTCTGGTTACTGGAATATACAAAGCAGCTCATTTTGGGTGTCTAGAGCCTCGCGAGTTGGGGAATATTGGGATCTGGAGAAGGCTGGGCTTGGATGGACTAAGATGGGCATCATGCAGATCTTTTTTCTGGCACAGTGGTGTGCTAACGTCTGCAAATTGTCCTTGCAGGTGATCCCAATGAGCTGCTGGTCAGGCATTTCCTCATCGAGACAGGCCCGAAAGGAGTGAAGATCAAGGGTTGCCAGAATGAGCCTCACTTTGGTAGGTTTTCTCCCTTTAAGATGTTGGATGCTGTCAGGGAGAGCAACTTTGAAAGGCTCAGTGTGCTGGATCTATTCACTGTCCACAGCTTCAATAACTAGGAGCGATGAATAGGAGCCACACCATGTCATGGAAAGAATTCGTGCGTTATGTTTTTAAAAAACAAACAACCGCTCACTTACTAAAACACCACATGGTAAAACAAAGTCAGACTGCTCAGAAATGTCTCCCATTTCAGCAGCCTCAGATCGGCGTGCTCCTTCACTTCCAACCTCTTGAGCATTGCTGACTTTAGTCACTGCACCATTGGTGGTCATGCCTTCAGTTGCTGACATAACCAAATGGTTTATTACAGATCACAGGGTATTGTATTACACAGAAAAGCATACAATGAGACCATTCAGCCCATCAGTTTTGTGCTGGTGTTTCTGCTCCACACAAGTCTCCTCCCATCTTCTCTCCATCTCACCTTATCTTTCTAATCCTTCCTCCTTGGTGTTTTATCACCCTTCTCCCTTAAAGGCATCTATATTATTTGTCTCAACCACTTCCTGTGGTCACAACTTCAGCACTCTGTGGGTAAAGATGTCTCTCCTGAATTTTCTACTGGAGTGACCTGAGACTTTCTGATATTTACAACCCCCAGTGCAGGTCTTTGGAATGTTTTGATGGTATATTAAGTTGCTATATAAATGCAAGGGTTTTTTGTTAGAAAAGTAGGCCTTCAGATGCTTTTGCAGAGTGATTCTTGGAGTTGAAAACTAACTGGCTTTTGTGTTTGTGTTGGATGCAGGTAGCCTATCGGCCCTGGTTTATCAGCACTCCATCACACCTATCTCCCTGCCCTACAAGCTGAAGATTCCAAACAAAGGTAACATGCCTCCTGAACCAAAAAGACAGCAGTCTTCCAGTAAAGTATTGGAAATGGGAGGAGGGCAGGGGGGGTCAGGGCAAGGTAAAATTAAATGCTTACAGAATACTTGGGGAGAATCAGCCATGAGTGTTTTCGAGTCACAGGTTAAAGATCACACGTACCACCGTGACCTCTTGTGAGGAAGGGATGAAGCAGTGGCTTCATGGAACGGGGCAGAGTTTTCCGTCTGAATCCAGAAAGTCTGGTGCAGCCTCAGAATGCGTGAAGTGGGAAGAATTGCTCTCTTGGGTTGTGAGAGAATTCCCAATGAGGAAAGAATTGGCCAGTATTCTCTGGAGTTTAGAAAATGAGAGATAATTTCATAGCAAGGTATGGATTCAAATGGGAGAAATTTCTTAAGTCAGAGTCATGTGGAATCCACAGACATTTGGACACTGAGGGAACCAAGGGATTGGTTGGGGGGCTGCTGGGTTTGGTGGGGACAGATGGGAGAGTAGATCTGAGGTCAAGGATCAACCATGATCTTAATGAATGGTTGGGCAGGCTCGAGGGGCTGAATAGCCTACTCCTGCCTTTTATTTCCTGGCCTGGATGAGCAATGGAGCAAAGGAAATTTGAGATGGGTTTTCCATGTCGCAGTTTTGCCAGAATTCAGTCCCTTTCCAATAGAATGATTGACTGGGAATGGTATATTGGAATATTTAATGCTTGTGGTAAGAATTGTGGTTTGCTTTCTAATATGTTTATCTAACCTCAGTCTGTGAACTCCTCTAATGTTTTTTTATTTTTAATGAAGTAATTGTGGTACAAACTCTTACCATCAGAACCAAATTATAAATAATCTGTGATCATTTTTTAAAACATTTGTCGTACAAACGTTTCACATGTTTAATCTTAAATTCTGGGGATTTTCCACTGTTGGAATAGGGACTGAGTTCGCATGTTGATTCACGGTGCAGTTGCTCCCTCTGCTGGATAGCACTTGCCATGGTTTCTGACCTGGGTTTACTTTTAACTTTTCTTCCGTCCTGAAGACGCTTACTGTTATTAGGCACTGTTCCAGGACCATCTGGGGGCACCACCTTAAACTGGAGCAAAGCACAAATTTTAGCAGTACAATTGTTAAATCCCCTTGCACAAATACCTCATCCTTGGCAATAAACAGAATATCTACACAATAGCTCATGAACTAACCCTCAGCTCTGTTCTTCTCCGATAAATCAAGAGAACCAGCTCTCCATCCTTTATCATTTCAAGTTTACTTTGTTTGCTCTTAAAGCTGCCCTGGCCTCAGTGCTGCCCTCCTGTGTTCATGGCTACCTGACGTCATTTTTTGTCGTTCTCCATTCTTCAGCTGTCAAGCTAAACATAACAAGTCATCCAACTGTTGGAGGCATCACATCGGATCTTGCTGCTTTTGCATCTTCCTGTTATTGGGACCAGTAGTTAGTCCTGCAGAGCAGAGCATCCAGGTCTGAATGTGTAGCTCATCTCTGGTTACCGGAACAGTAGCATAGTGATAACATGATTAGCTCAGTGATCCAGAGGCCTGGTTCAGAGACACAATTTCAATTCCCACCGTGGCAGCTGAGCAGACTTTAAATCTGGAATGATTAAAGATGGTGAAAATACTCAATTGTTATAAAATTCCATCTGGCTCACTAATATCCTTCAGGGAAGGAAATCTGCCATCCTTACCTGGTCTGGCCTACTTGTGACTCCAGACCCACAGCAATGTGGTTGATTCTTAACTGCCCTCTGAAATGGCCTAGCAAGCCACTCAGTTGTACCAAACTGCAAAAGAAGAAAGCACTGTGTGTGTCTACACCATACAGACTGCGGTGGTTCAAGTAGGCAGCTCACTGTCACCTCCTCAAGGGTAATTAGGGATGGGCAATAAATGTTGGCTCACATCTCAGGAATATGTATTTTTAAAAATCTGAGTGGCTAATAGCCATGAAAACTCGAGACTAATTCAATAAAAACATTGCTATGTGCCTGCCATTTTTTAGTGAGTCGACTTTTACAAACTGTTGGGGCTGCTGATGGAGGATTTAACTGACAATAATTTGCTGTGCGTTTCCCTTCCAGATCCCATGGATGAAACCCAGGATAATATTGTCCCTGGCAACACCAGTACTGCTGCAGAGTTGCTTAAACAGGGAGCAGGTGAGGATTCCAGCGTCAGTGGCACTGCATGTTAGTACCTGCTCACTGCTGTGCTGCTGTTTATTAAAAACTGTCCCTTACTCAAAATTTCTAAAGGTGTAATACCTGACCTATGAAATTTGACGTGACGTAAAGTGCACTATAGTTCAGTTTCCTTCAAGACAGTGTGTAATACTCTAAAGTACTTCACTACATTTACAATTAGAAGGTATATTTATACCATACATGTTGTGCCAAATGTGCCCTGCTGCTTATAGCTCAGGGAGTGTTACGTGGGATCCTGACCCTCAGTGGGCACTTGGAGGAGGGCCTTAGACAGTGGCCTTGCCTCACCGAAGCTTTGTGGTAGCTGCCTCACGCTTTAGTGTATCCCTCAGCGAGTAGTCCTGAACCTTGGAATATGCCAGTCTGCAGTACCTAGTCCTCAACAACTGGAAGACCAGCAAGTTTCTGGCGGACAAAAATGTGCCTGCAGTTCTGTTTGGCTGAATAAAGAGTGGGAGCAATGGACCTAGTTTGATCTCACTCAAAGCTATTTACTTAGGCCGAGTTAAAATTGGGCCCAATTTTGCACTGGCCCTAATAATGGTCTGCATTGGATTTCCTTCAAAATATTCACACCAATAACAATATGATGAGGAGATGAAGAAAGTTCTGTTTTGCGAACGAAACTGGATTTCTAGAGCAGGGTAATGTGAGAGACTGTGGGGAAAGAGCAGGGGATCAGGACGAGTTGGAGTTCTTCCAAAGAGCCAGCACAGACACAATGGGCTGATTGGCCTTTTTATGGTCTATATAATTTTATATTAGTGGATAGGGATTCTCTTAGATTTGTTCAATAGAATTACTGAGCTATCATAAATAGATTACTTAATTAAAATAGTTGCATTAATTTAGGAAACAGCTATTAATACCTAGTAAAAGCATTATTACAATATGCTGGTCTGCATTGAATAGTTTGTTTTAATCTGGATTTGAGCTGGGCTGGTGCACTGTGCTGTCTGATCCAATATTTCTTCTGGCTTTCAGCTTGCAATGTGCTGTATATCAATTCGGTGGAGACAGAATCCTTGACGGGGCCACAAGCAGTCGCCAAAGCAACCATGCAGACTTTTGCCATGAAGCCTCGGCCTACTGCTACCGTGGTACACTTCAAAGTTTCAGTCCAGGGCATCACCTTAACAGACAGCCAACGAAAGTAAGCCCACATTAATGTTACTCAAATTATAACAACAACTTTTTTTTATATAGCATCTTTAGTATAATAAAACATCCCCAAGGTGCTTTGTAGGAGCATTATATGACTTTGAGCCACATGAGGAGATATCAGGAGAAGTGGAGAGGTCGGCTTTAAGGACCGTCTTAAAGGAGGAAAATGAAAGTTAGAGAAGCAGGGAGGGAATACCAGAGCTTGAGATCTTAGCTTCTGAAAACCAGAGGTGGAGCAGTTAAAATTGGGGCTGTTCAAGAAGCCAAAATTAAAGGAGCTCAGATATCTTAGGGGCTTGAGGAGGGGCTAAATGCCTCCTCTTGTTCTTACATTGCTAACATCAGACACTGCATGGGACATCCTGCCCTTGAGAGCTACTAGCGTACAGTCGGTTCTGATATAATGCATTTCTTCAAACATGAATCAGCTTTAACACGATTGAAGAATTTAGACCGACCGCTATTTGTAGACTGCGAACTTTCTCTTCTTGTATTGGCTATAACGCAATTCTGGCCCCATTAGTTTAAATGGTGTGGCTATTGCGCGATTTCCTTATAATACAAGATCGCACAAGCATGGAACTATCGCGTTATATCAGAACCAACTGCATCTGATTGGTTGACAACTCCATTTCTTCAGGCAATGCCAGAGCTCAGGAGCTTCCCAAATAGATGGTTAAAATCCACCTGCGCATTCCTATCCAAATGTCTGCATCAGCCATTTTTGGTGTGGGATTAGAACAAGCTCAATTAACCCTTAATTATTTATTTACCTATGGCAGATGGGCTGTCGATTTTGTCACCTGCCTGCCCTCCATTTTATGGAGTGGAGTTAAGGGTCAGTGGAGGTAAGGTGGTGACTGGGCACCTGCCCTATTTTACTTGCCTTCCCACCAAAAGCATACCCAGCCGAGGACAAGTAATATCCAGCCCATTATCTCCCTCCGCAAGTCATCTAATGGAGGTACGTGACCAAATCTTCTGTGAATCACAAAACAAGTGAGATTTTGGGGATAGTTGCTGAGTTGACAAAAATCTGTCACTCTCCAAGGTGAAATAGCTTTAAAAATTGATCAGGAGTACAAGTTACTCGAGACAGAGAATGTGAAACTTAAACACAGGCCATTGCTGCAGTTGTCGGGCCAGTTTTGTGGGCCGTATCCATTTGTTCTCTTTGTTGATAAAACTAGACTTCTTTCCATTTCCATTTCTAAACATATTTGCTTCTTTTGTGCTCAACAGGATTTTTTTCAGACGCCACTATCCAGTCAACACAGTTACGTTCTGTAATCTAGATCCACGCGATCGAAGGTATGTTGACCCTAGTTAGGGCAACGTGAGCTGTTTTCATGCTGATCTGGGTATTACTGCCTTAGAGACTATGTGTGGCTAAATGTTGCAGGGTTTGTTCTCTGATGTTGGTGTATAATTATCAATCATCCATTCCTTTTCAACTTTGTGCTCATAGGGTGAGGGGTATTGGGACTGGAGAACGATATCCATTGTTCCATCCAGCATTCCCAGCTGGTCATCTATAACCCAACGAAATGCAAAGGAAAGCTTTCCGTGCTCGACCTCAGAAAACTTGCAACATCATGACATTTCCAACTACTTCCTACACCAGACCTCCTTTAGCTCCTCTGAGCGTGAATGCCAATTTGTGCCAAATTAGGAGCAGCTTTTTGCTGTAGGCCCTATACTGAAAGGGAGTACCCAACATTGACTCACATTGGCATGTGCAAGTTTGCAATACTCGATCATCAACAGCTGTTTGGACAGGAAGATAAGCTTCAGACGACCAAAGAGGGGAGTTGGTTTCTGGCTCTGTGTAGCTTCCTGGTAACAGCCTGTAGAGCACAGAGTGCTGTGACATGGAGCTGCTTGAGAGAAAACTCAACGAAAAGCACTGTATAAGGATTAATCTGATGGAAAATTTAGGAATGAACACAATATTTTTCCACTGCAGCCTTTATCACCAGTTAAACATTAACCCGCTCTATATGAACAGTTTGACATCTGTGTAGGGGATTGTAGGATCAGAATTCTGTATTTGATGCCGAATTTAACCATAGAGTACAAAGATGTTATACTGCTAGATATTGGACTTTTTAAATACCTGGTGCTATAATATTAAAACAATTTACACAGTAGTGCTCACAATCTCTTTTTTTGAAATTAAAATTAGAAAATGTTCCACATCTCTAACCTAAATCCTTCAGTGCTGTAGCTGCCTTTGTTCTCGTTCACACCCTACCACATTGCATCTCTTCTTTTCCAGGTGGACCAACGCAGATGGTACAACATCAAAGTAAGTGATTCGGAAAGTACACAGGAGAGCTCAGAGACTGGGTCCATGTGTTCAGCACTGGGAGGAAGGGAAATATAATGCAGAAACTGACTAAATTCCCATGGCAACACAGCTGAGGGCCAATTACCCGAAGCCATTTCCCTGCATTACCAAAAACCAGCTTTGAAGCATCAGTATAGGAAGTCCATGTACTGATGTTCAGCTGAAATCTGTTCAAACCATGTAAACTGCAAAATTATTTTTGATGCTAACAATTTTCACAAAGCTGTCTTGTGTTACCGTACAGACTAAAGTCTCATCAGTGTTGTGCCCTCAATGTCTTCTGTAAGATGAGATTTCCAGCCCTGAACTTTTATGCAGGATGTAGATCGTGAAACATATCCCTTCTCATCAGTTAAAAAAGAACTTTAAGAAACGTTGGATTGGATTTTCAAAGGGTTGGATGCACGTGGCATCAGAAAATCGGCACATGCACATCGTCTCAGAATCCCAGTGCTGCTGGGACAGTTGTAAATTTTGAAAGGGCTTGTAGAGGGAGGGAACAGGAAATCTGCTTGCTGCCAATTAATGACTACTTAAGCTCCTAAAGGAGTTTCTTAAGGAATGTTTCTGGAATGGAAATCTTTCCCATCCATCCTGACATCCAAACTGGCCATGGTTTCTAGCCCTTCTCTTGATTTCTTTTCTCTCTCTTCCAGAATGTTTGGTTTTGTGGCAAAGAAGCAGGGCAGCACATCAGATAATGTCTGCCATCTTTTTGCTGAACTCGACCCAGAACAGCCTGCATCAGCCATTGTGAATTTCATCACCAAAGTCATGCTGGGGCCCCAGAAGAGATGAAGCCTCGATTCAAAGAGGAGTCAAGAGAACGAACTGGTAAAGGAAGATGGATGGCTACTTCTGTCTCACCACTGTGATCAGAAATAAAAGAAATGAACTTCCTTCAAATCAAAACATTTTTAAAAGCACAAAAGAAAATATCTTTCTCTGTTTCAGTTCAGCCAGACCTTGCAATAGCATCTATCTAAATATTCCAATGACAGGAGATTCCATTAATATCAGTTGAGAGTTGATTGCTCTCGGGTCAGGAAGGGACAGCTGTAAGAAGGGCTTGACTTCATTGCAATCTTGTTTTCCCTCAGAAACCATCAAGCCTTTGGGAATAATGACAAGTCACCACAAGGTATGTTGCCTGCTTTGAATGGCAGTAATGCTATGGTTTGATGGGGATTTTTTTAAGTCCTTGTTATAGTGCAGAAGCTTGGTCACTGACTGATGCAGCCTCTGAACATTATAAAGTGTGGGAAATGGAGATAGGAGCTGACAGTGAGAAAGGGTATTCTCAGGCGATTAAAGGATAGTGGGCGACTCTCATTTGGCATCAATAGATTCAGGTTTGTGAAATCAAGAATACAATATTATAGATACAGCAGACCCAAAAAGATACTAAATCCTGTCCTGGCAGATCATTGGTATTGTTTTCCAAGTGTACATTAACAGGCCCCCAGTTTACAGCATAAAGAGTCCTCTCAGTGAGATATCATTATCAGCCCCACACTGGTCTAACAGTGAGATCACTCAAGGAAAGATGCCAGGAAGAGAGAGTGAAACTGATGATAATTCAGTGCAACATACCTGATGCAACAGTCAAAGGTAACAGACATGGCATTCCTTAGTGAGAACCATTGGACAGGCCAACTCCTGAAATTCATTTAATTGAATTAGTCCAACACTGTAACACTTCAGTCGGATCAAAGCCAATTCCTGGATGTTTTTCTTAACAAACGCATTGATACAGATTTCTACAAACTAAAGGGTGCACTTAACCAGCAGGGCTCAATGAGTTTGTGGGATACTAAACTCAGACGGACCCAGGATGAGGCCTGTGTGCTGAGTTCACCTCAGGGGTTAGGTGAGGAGGGCAGCAGATAGAGCTGAATGGTGTGTGAACATTTGCTGCCTGGAATACACCCATGACAAATGGACACTAGACAGGTAAGGTGTAGCACCTCCCCAGTGTGGAACATTATTCCAGTGTAAAGTCACTACCATCCAGACTGCAGGCAAGATAGCAAATCAGAACGGGAAATAGCAGCATAGGAAACAATCAAATATTTCTCCTCCATATATCTTTGCACCATAATGCAACATGTAATGGCAGAAAACAGAAAGCAAATGACATTTTTACACAGAAGTTAATTAGACCTATCTCTGAATTGACTGTATTTTGCCAACACTGATTACAATGGACTGAATTGTCTCCTTTGGTGCTGTATCATATGGGATTTACTGTCCCGAGAATTGAAAGTAAGAAAATTGTCCAACATCTTGACTTGGTTTGTGAGAATAGCAGGTGTTCTGGGCCATTGGAAGTCTATAACTGGATCTGATATTGTTTGTGTCCAGTTGCCTTCAATAGAACAGTAGTCTTGGCAAGCATAATGGAGTAGCCAGAGATAGCAAGAACTACAGATGCTGGAGTCTGAGATAACACAGTGTGGAGCTGGAGGAGCACAGCAGGCCAGGCAGCATCAGAGGAGCAGGAAAGTTGACGTTTCGGGTCGGGACCCTTCTTCAGGAGTAGCCAGCACCTTATCTATAGGAATTAATGTTTTCAAATTGGTTTTCAGGGTCCTTCTTGAAATCTAGATACTTAAACTCAGTTCACCAAAGCAAAAATCCATGTAATCGAGGCTTGTAACTGGACATGTTATCATGCCTTCCAACTTAACCTTAGAGCAAGGGTGACATTCTCATTTCTGAATGCACCCTCTTTTGCAACTGTAGATGCACTTATCTCTTATACTTATTCACTGGCTTGTTCTAGACTAACCAGATTCACTGATGTTCTGATGCCAACCCAAACCTTTAAGAGTCTGAAGAAGCGAAGTTGCCTGTCCCCCCCACACCTGTAGCATGTCTTCATTTTCAGAAGATTTGCCACATGTAAGACAGTTGGTTATTCAGGGGTTTCAATTAGTTCCCCATAGCAAAACATTACGATCCAACTCCTTGCTCCTGTTCTGCTCCCTCGTCCAGTTCCCCACTAAAGAAGAGATGCTAGTTTGGCTCCTTGACATGCCCAGCAGCTGAGCAATCTTCTGCATGTTTTTCAAAAGCATAATTATTACTGGCAAGTTTTTTTTTATTTTCATAACAACAAGTTAAAGACTTTTGGACAATAAGCAAAGTTCTTTCTTTGCTATACATGTCCCAATTCAGATAAAGTATTATTGACTGGAACTGTAGCTGTTTCTATCTCCACAGATGTTTCCTGATCACTGAGGATTTCCTGTATTTTCTGTATTTATATAGTCAAAATTATTCCCTTTATCAGGTTACGCTAGTCACATTCTGAATTCTTGAGCACAGTACAAATTAATCACACTCAGAACCTTAAATATGCAAAGATTGAAACAAAATATTTGAATGATCCATTCACTGAATGTATTTTAGGGCCCTGCCCATCCTGTGTTGATCTAAATGATGCCTAAAAATTCTGTCTCAAGTATTTTTGCACTGAAGTTCCGTGACAGCATTCCCAAGTCTGGGGTCTATAATATCCTATATTCCTTGAGAAGTATATCCCTGTGCACTGTGGCTTCACTGGATGGTGTTTTGTTGGAATCATGTATTTCACTTTTTTTTTGGTTGTTTCATCTGCCATCTGGTTGGTTAGCTTATTTTGATGTCCCACGGTGAATCAGTGTGACACATCAGCAGACTGACAGTCAATGGAATATTGGCATGTGTTGCATGCTTACAACTATGACCATTGCTGCAAGTTGTCTACCAACTTCCCATATCCCATATCAGATACTTAACCTAGATTCTCCAGGTAGTGGCTAGTTTTATGCTATGGGGCTGTACCCCACTAAGTGTTGCATTCAAGGGGCTGGTAGCGTAGTAGTAATGCCATTGGACCAGTAATCCACAGGTCTGACCTAATGCTTTGCAAACAAAAGTTCTATTTCCTGCCAGAGCAGCTAGGGAGCATTTAATTTCAATACATTAGTAAAAATGAAATCTGTAATAAAATGCTAGTCATTCATAATAATCACAAAACTAGCAGATTGATGTGAACATCTAATTGACTCACTAATGTCATTCAGGAAAGGAAATCTGCCATCCTTACCCAGTCTGGCCATTGTATGAGTCCAGACCCACAGTGATGAGGTGACTGGAGTCAAGCAAACCATGCAGTTCAAGGGCAGTTGGGGATGGCCAATACAGCAGCATCTATATCCCAAGAGGAGAGATAGAGAGAAAAACATTGTCTAGCCCTAAGTGATTTCACATTGATTCTATTTGGCCAGTTCAATGGGCCTACCACTTACTCCCTTATCATTGGATCTTGGAACTACAAGGATGTTAGAAAGTGAGGAGATGGGACCTGATCTTTTCTCATGCAGAAGTTCCTATGTGCCACCCAGTTCCCCTCCTCAGAGCCAAGCAAATGAATCTGGAGGGGGTATGAATTAGCCTTGGTGAATAAGATTGCAGTGAATCATTTGGACCAATTGAGATATCCTGCAAAAATGCTTTGAGTGCTCAGTTGCCTTTACAATGGTCATGTGAAGTGTTGTAAGGTTGTAGCATTGAACAGGACTCAGAAAGCTCTCAGTTAGTGGTCAATATATAATATATTGTATGAGTATGTGTGTAATATATGTATATGAATTTGGTGACAAAATGGAATATTATGAAATCTCAAAGTGGAGTTATACTGCCTGACAGATAGTGAGTTAGTGTGATAGTTGTTGCTGTGCTTATTTTATTAACTATGTAAATTTATTTGGACGTATAGTCAGATGCCATTTGCAAACACGGTAGTTTTGAAGTTTTATAACTGTGAATGGCATTTCTATTGGGGTTGCTGTGAGGAATCTGAATTCATGTTCTGTTGTGTCGTGAAGCCATGGGCAAGACACAGGCTTCTCAGCAGCATTAACCAGACAACCTTTGACATCGAGTTATGTCAGATTAATCAAATTATACTGGTAAAATATCTTTTAAGTGTATTTCACAAGGGGATGTGGGGAAGGAGGAAGAGCAAGGGACTGACTGGAGGTGTAACTAAGCTGAAGTCAATGTAGTGATATAGAAACTGCAATGACCCTTCGCCTTTGAGTCAGTCATCAGTAAATCACTCTCCCAGCCATATTGCCCAAAGTAGCCATAGTTGTGACTGAGAACAAGATATTTAAACTAATGCGTTTTGGTTCCATCTCAAGTTAAAAGAGATCAGGAGCATTTGGTTCAGTAAAGAAAACTTTATGTTCTTGGTCAGATATAGACAAAAGTATTAATCACAGAAATCTCTATTGCAATGATAAAGTCAGTCCCAAAATTTCAATGTGTCTCTGCTAAATGGGTTGTAATCTTTATATCTAATGATATATTCAAACTCCCAGAAGATTCAACATACAGGTCTCTATCCAAGATTATCAGTAGACATGGCGCTTTCCATAGTTTCGCCTGGAGGGAGGAGGATAGGGTGAATAGAAACGTTGTTGATGAAGTAAACACAAAGAATTGCAGCTGCTGGAAACCTGAAACAAAAACAGAGAATGCTGCAGAAACTCGGCGGGTCTAGCCGGTGGAGAGAAAAAAGGAGTTAACATTTCGAGTCCAGTGACCCAGAGGAGTTTCTCCAGCATTCTGTGTTTTTGTTATTAATGAAGGTTGGGTGAATTAAGGAATATGATTTATAATGTACACAAGGTGAAGCAAACAAAACATCTCGGGAGGTGGGGGGGAAGCAACAGTCTGGTTGAAGTGAGGAAGGGACAGACACTCAGTGGGTGCAATTGATTACTGAAAGAGTGGCTCATTGGAGCCTTCACTGGTTAAGGCTTCACTATGTCACTGAAGTTGGAATGTCCTCGTTGTACCTCTCTAACATATCGATTGTATATATCGAGGGAGAGATGCAAGTTGGTAGGGATGGAGCTTGTGGTAGAATGCTTGGCATGAGAAAGAAAGTACAGCACTCTGAATTGATGGTGTGCAGACAATTTGATTTCAAAGACAGGCAGAAGAAACTGGTGCATAGCCACTGGGATCCTAGAGCTGCTTTGCCAATCGCTGCCAAGGTTCCTATCTCTTCTGGACAATTGTACAGGGCTCAGAGAAAAAAAACAGCAATTCTCCCAAAGGGTGCGGCCAGTGCTTTCCAAGCTGCATGACTGCCCCTGCGTTGTGTTAGGGGAGCCGTGCTAAATCTCAGAGGCTGATCAACACATTGGACAAGGTAGCCAAGAAAGTATAGATTTAAACAGCTTGATGTATATTACATATTTTAATCAAAGTCTATAGTTTTATTTGTATAGCTCAGACATTTATTTTACCTGATAATGGAGAATTTATGGAAAAAGCTTTAGTCAAGAACGTATAATATATTATACTTATGCTGTTATTTACTTTTGTATTTTAGTGTTTTATCAATCCAATGCCAGCTAAACAAAGCTTCGTGTATTCTTTTGTGTGTTTACCATGTGTTTGTATCTTCTCTCCAAGTATACCAAATCTCTAAAGAAATGAAAAATCACATCGTGTTTTTGCTCTTTGAATTGGACTCTGAGGGGGCCTTGTTCACAAGCCCTGAAGCTGGTTGGTGGAATGGTCAGGTTGGGTCGAGCCACACATAGCCCAAGATTTTAATTTTCCACCCTATGCTCAGGGAATTCAGTCTGGGCAGACACCATAGGCCCCAGCACCCCTCAGTCGATGAGTTCTCCAACTGATACCGGGTAACAGGGGTCACATTCATTGTTTCACTGTCAGCTAGCCTGTCAATGTTGCCATGAGAAATGGTGGTTGGGTCACGGGAGGCGGGGGGGGGGGTTGTAGTTTGATACTGAAGTGACCATTTATTCCCAAGTTTTTACCTCTCATTCCTAAAGTGACAGCATCATGTTTAAAAGTGCGTGATTGAATTCTTAAGAGAAGATTTCTGCTTCGTAGTATCAGCAGTGATAAAACTGTCACAACAGTACATCCTGCTGGAAGATGTGTGACACTGTTGGAATTTGTTCTAAACATTTCCTGTGCCAATTCAGAGTTTATAATAATCTTGTGCTGCAATGTGTAACAGAATTTAATTTGTTAATAAAACAGCAGTTGCTAGAAATTATTTCCAAAGGTGCTCATTTGCTTTAACTGAAACAGTTTCTTGACACAAGACTCTCTACTGAGCCACACAGACAAGGAAGTCTTTTCTGACAACAACAACTTGTTTTAGAGCGCCTTAACTGCTACAAAAACATCCACAGGTATTTCACAGGAGCATTATGAAAGAATGGAGGAAATATTGCTGGATGTCATAAATAAAGGGAAATAATGCAGAGCAGACAGGGAAAATGAGGCAGGAGGAACATCTGGGCAATAGCGGTCACAATGTAATAAGATTCGATTGGGAGATAGACAGTACATAGATCACAGTAATAGATTGGAGAAAAGCCACAATAAGGGAATGGGAATGGAGCTCAAGGAAGATAAACTGGAGAAAAATATCAACAGGCAAAAAGATAGCACAATAGGGGAGAATATTGAAAGGAAAAATTGAGGAAGGATAGGAGAAATATATTCCACTAAAAAATTTAAAACAAACTGGACAATTTTGAGATACGATGGATAATTAAACAGGATAAAACTGAATCTAACAAAAAAGGATGCCTGCAAAGTACATAAACAGTAAAGCAGAGGGTCACAAAAAGAGATTAATTTAAGAGTTAAATGGATACTAGGAAAGACTTATGGGGGGAAATTAAATCATCAAACAGAAAGAATTAGTAGTCTACAGGCAGATAAATACAAATGGAGTTAAGACAAGACAAGGTCACGAAAGGACAAGTAAAATAAACGAGAGACTGTAAAGAGCTGGAATAATGAACAAAATGTTGGAAATGCTCAGCAGATCAGGCAGCCTCTGTGGAAAGAGAAAGAGTGTTATCATTTCAGGTTCGATGATGGATCTGCTGAAAGATCATTGATCTGAAATGTTATCTCTGTTTTCCTTTCTCCACAGAGGTTGTCAGACCTGCTGAGGATTTCCACCATTTAGCTCTCATTTTCGGCATCTGCACTTTTTTGCTTTTCAGTTGGGATAATGAACAAATCTTGTGCCTCTTTTCACTGAAAAGGTTGTCAAAGGGGAACTGGTAACAGTACAAGAGGTCAAGATGGTTATTGCAAAGGTTTAGGTGGAAAGAAAGGAGGTTTTGGACAAACTCCAGTTAACCTCATAAAAGAGAAAACCCACATCCAGGTGGATTATGCCTGAGTATTCAAAGCAGCCGCTCTGGAAACATCTTTGCTCCTTCCAGCTCCACACTCGGGTAAGTATGATTGTTTAAACCTACCTTTCCAGTGGACACCACCAGTAGTCCCTATAAAGACATGACTCGGTAAGGGGCACCTCAAACAGGCTTCAGGCCTTCTATTTGCTTTTGCAAAGTTCCTAAAGCTTATTTGAAACCTGGGGTTTTAATACTGAAATGGAAGATATTTTAGTGCGGTAGGGCATTTCCACTGCAGAACACATCTGGTTTATGCCTGGAGAGTGAGTCCACTATCAACTAAATTCTAAACCAGTGTAGATTCTTGAAATTTCTGAGCATAAGCTGTAGTATGACTCTGCCAAACTGATACTGGTTTTTAGTTTTGTACCAAGTTGTGGGAAATATAAGGCAACCGACCTGAACAAATGTTTCGGGAAAGGGAAAACTACAAATACAAGGTCATCACAGTCTCTCTTGATCCAACCTACAAGACATACACATAAAATGGACCTATACATAAACACACAGAGACACAGCAGACATACACCCAGACAAACCTACCCACAGACAGGTTAGACACACACACAGGCAAACTTCCATAGGTAAACATCTATAGAGACATGGACATACACAGATAAACCTACACATAGACTTGCACAAACATTGGCATGTACACAGATAGTAATATACAGACTGACACACACAGATCAACACACAGACTGGCACATGTTATGAACCAGACCAAACTCCCTGCAAGTATATCAAGGAGATAGCCCAAACCCTAACTTTTATCTTATTTAAAGGCAAGTGTGAGGTGCTGCATTCCAGATGTGATTTCTTTGGTCAAACTACTAGGCATTAAACAAAACACACCTTTCTTTTTACACCACAGTTAAAATACAAACAAAAGAATTGGCATGACTGTAACTCTAATACACACGGATGGACCTACACACAAAGTTAAACGTACACAGACACAGATGGAACTACATATACTCAAACACATATACTGCCTTTCCTGACTGGGACCGTTAATGACTGCAGCTCAAATCTGGAATCTTTGACTGTGGTTTCACGGGATGTGGGTATCGCTGCTGAGTCCAGCTTGTGTTACCCAGCCTTAACTGCCTTTGAACTGAGTGGTATGCTAGGTGTTTTCAAACAGCAGTTAAGAGTTATCCTCTTCCCTCCATCATAAAGTCAGAAGTGGGGATGTTCGCCAATGATTGCACAATGTTCAGCACCATTTGTGACTCCTCAGATACTGAAGCAGTCCATGTTCTAATGTAACAAGATCTGGACAATATCCAGGCTTGGGCTGACAAGTGGCAAGTAACATTCACACCATGCAAATGCCAGGCTATGAACAGCTCCAAGACAAGACAATCCAATGACATTCAATGGTGTTACCATCATTGAATCCCCACTATCAACATCCTGGGGGTTACCATTGACCAGAAACTCAACTGGTCTTGCCACATAAACACAGTGGCTACAAGAGCAGGTCAGAGGCTAGGAATACTACGGCAAGTAACTCAACCCCTGACACCACTCCTGCCTCCCCAAAGCCTTTCCACCATTTACAAGGCGCAAGTCAGGAGTGTGATGG